CACTCTCACTGATATTGATAGATGGAAGAGGACAAAGATGAAAAATCAAAGCTCTAAACTGGGGGTTGGCTGATTTTAACAAGATCAGATATGATTTGGCAAGAGTGGACTGGGAGCAGATACTTTCAGTTAAACCTGACTCATTCAAAAGGAAAAATGGAGAATATAGGTCAACATGTTTCAAAAAAGGAGGATCGGACTGTTAAATCCTGTGAACAATGGCTATTGAGAGACGTAAAACAATAGGTTAAGGGAAAAAAAGGAGGTGTATAGTAGATACTGAGGGATCAAAATAGCAGTAGCCCCAGATGTCTATAGAATGTGCAAGAGGGAACTTATAAAAGAGATTAGGAGAGCTAAGAAGGGGACATGGAAGAAATCTGATTTGGCAAAATAAAGGAAAACCCACAGTTGTTTTACAGGTACATTAAGGGTGAAAGGATGATGAAGGAAAGACTGTGGCCCATTATCACAATGGTAATTAGTTTGTGGAGCCAGAAGATAGGTTATAAGAAGGACTATATGGGTATAGATATCAGCGAGAAAATCTGTGATATAATCAAATAATTTAGCATAGACAAAGAAGAGGTTCTTAGTGGTTTGGGAGGCTTAAAAGTAGATAAATCTCCATGGCCAAATAAAATGTATACCAGGTTATTGAGTGAGGAAAAGGCGAAAGTAGCAGGGTGTTTGCAAAAGTTTTCAATTCCTCTGTGGCCACAGAAGAAGGGCCAAAGGACTGGAGAACTGTGGTACCATTATTCAAGAAGGGAGCAAGGGATAAACGAGGAAGTTACAGAGTAGTCAGTCTACCTTTGGTTGGGAAACTGTTGGAAGCTAGTTTGAGGAATGGAATTAATCTGTATTTGGAAAAACAGTCAGCATGGTTTTCGTAAGAGGAAGTCATTTGATGACACTGGCTTTAAGATGTGTATTTTGTCCTGTTTGTTGTTATGAAGACAGGCTGACATAGAGGCATCTGGCGGTCTGCTCAAAGCCAATGAAGTAAACAGCTTGTGAGACCTTGTGTTTTTTTTTAAAGTTGGAACAATAGAAGCAGTCTGGATGGGTAGGGTCAAGCTCCCACAGAACCAGGATTTTTAGTTTTAGCTTTCTTCAGAGTCTGGGGTCTTTAAGCTGGATGTGGAAGCTGTTATTCCTCTCTCTGTTACAGCTAAAAGCTGAGGTTCTCTTCCTGCTGCTACATGAGACAATCTATTTTATCAAATTTGTCTTTGCTAAGGGTATGTTTATGGGATGCTACGATATTGGAACAGTTAATTAACAGTAGTTTAACATATCTATTATTTCGTTAAGAATTTTGTTTGTTACAATTAAGCCAATGCTTTTATTTTTATTTTGTCTGTATTTTAGCTGTGGTTTAAAAATAGTGTGTTTTGCTGAAAGTTGAATGATTTGACCAATTGAATTGCATCTGAAATGCAGCGCCTTACGCTTACCTTTAAGATAAGAATCTAAGGTATCTTCCTAAAATATTTTGAGGGGGTTTGGTCTGATTCATAACAGTTATGTCTGACCAACTTGATAGTATTCATCTCTCTGAAAAATTCAATATAAATGAGGGCAATGCTTTTGGTGTAGTCTACTTGGATTTCAGCAGGATCTTTGAAATCCATGGAAATTTGGCAAATCGGATCCACAATTGGCTGAGTGACAGGAAGCAGAGAGTGAGGTTGAGGTGTGTTTTTTTTTCTTACTGGAAGTCTGTGTCCGTTGGGGTTCCACAGGAGACAGTATTGGGACCCTTGTTATTTGTGATTTATATAAATGATTTAGACTCTAATGTAGGAGGATTGATCAGTAAGTTCGCAGATGATACAAAAAATGATGGGGTGATAGATTGTGAGGAGGACAGCTTTAGACTACAAAAGGATGCAGCCAGGCTGGTCAGTTTGGCTGATCAGTGACAAATGGAATTCAATTGGAAAAGTATGAGATAGTGCATGTAGGCAAGACATACAAGGCAAGGGAATACATAATGAACAGTAGGACCCTGGCAGACACTGAGGATTAAAGAGAATTTGGTGTGCTTGTACACCAGTTCCTCAAGTTATCTAGACAGGTGGATAAAGTGGTTAAGAAGGCATATGGTATTCTTTTATTAGATGGTGGTGTTAGAGTAGGCAGCATACAGGCTCCTGTGCCTGGGAATATCTTTATTGTCTACATATTTTATTCCTTTTTCTTTCTTCCCCCTCTTTTTTTCTAAAACTTAACTGATAAAGAAAGCTCATTGGCTGGAGGCAGCTTTGATGGGCTCTGGAGCAGCGGTGGTGTCTTCAGATGCAGCGTGGCTATAGAGTCAGTCAGTTGGCCTGTGAAGCCTGGACCCGGATTCTCGCTTCTGCATGGAGTGGGCCCCTGGCGGTTGGCAAGCCCGGAGTGGGACAGTCTTGGTGGCATGGCATGGGCTGGGAAGTCTGGAGTGGGTCACTCTCTGCGGCATGGCCCGGGCTGGGAAGCCTGGAGTGGGTCACTCTCTGCGGCACGGCATGGGCTGGGAAGTCTGGAGGGGGTCACTCAATGCGGCATGGCGTGGGCTGGGAAGCCCAGAGAGGAACTCTGGTGGCAGCATGCTGTAGTAGCAGAGGAAGAAAAGTTGGACTCTCTTTAACTTAGAATAAACTAAAAAAATAATAACTTAATGTAAATGGTGCCTGTGTTCTGGCGATTGTATTGAATACATGTGACAATAAAGGATAATCTATTTTATTCCAGGCCATGCATACGGTTTAAGAGCAGTGAGGTTATGCTGGAACTGTATAAAGTATTGGTTAAAACACAGGTAGAGTATTACGTGGAGTTCTGGAATCTGCAGTAGAAGAAGGATGAGATAACACTGGAGAGGGTGCAGAAGATATTTACCAGTATGTTGGACTGGAGAATTCCAGTTTTGAAGAGAGATTGGATAGACTGAGGTTGTTTTCTTTAGAACATTAGGAGATTCAGAAGGGACATGATTTGAGATGCATGAAATTATAAGGGGTATAAATAGGATAGACACGAAGACATTTTTTCCTTTGATGGAGAGATCAATGACCGGGGGCAATGATTTAAGGGAAGGGGTAGAAGGTTTAGAGAAGATGTGAGGAAAAACTTTGCACCCAGAGGGTGATGGTGAGAATCTGCACCACAAACAACCCATTATTGGCTACTAATAGTCCCCATTAGCAGCTATTCATTTTCCTAGACTGACCTTTATCCATTCCTTTGTCTGTCTAACTGTTTTTCTCTCTCTTTAGCTCTATCTCCAACTAATGTTTACTCCCCCCTACTCCCCCATCCTATCTTCTGCGTAAACACCAACGCTTTTCCTAGTTACCATCAGTTCTGAAGAAGGGTCACTGGACCCAAAATGTTAACTCTGATTTGTCTCCACAGATGCTGCCTGACCTGGTGAGTTTTTCCAGCAGTTTCTGTTTTTGCTTTTTTATATCTGCAACACTGTCTGTAAGGGTGGTAGAGATGGAAACCTCATAACATTTAAGAAATATTTAGATGTGCATTTGTAATGCCAAGGCTGTAGGCTAAGTGCTGCAAATGGGATTAGAATAGTTAGACAGTTATTTTTGACTGTAGATCACTACCACCTCTTCAGGTGCAATTAATGCAGGGCCAATCAGTGATGGCCACCTCCCATGAGTGCATAGAAGAAAATCTTCCCTTTTATCTTTCCTGCCCCTCTTAAATTTTGCTGGCTTAAAATCTGTTATTTTTCTAACTTTCGTCCGTTCTGATGAAAGGTCATTGACTGGAAACTTTGTTTCAGATTATCCAGTGGCCAGAGTGCTATTATTCTAGTGTAAATGTGAGTTGTACATGTGGCTACTGCAGAATTCCAATTATAGCAGGCTCCAAAGGAGTTGTCTTTGAAATTGCTGATTCCCCTCGACAATTCCTCTGCGCTTGGAACCCTCAAACAGTCTCAATTTAATTTGGAGAATTCCAAGGCTTCCATTGAAATTAAGTAAACAATTAGGAAAAGTTCAGAGTATAAATTGCATAGCATAACTCCTGAGAGATGATTCGACTGACCCCTTACTTACCTCACACACTTTCAACTACATTTCCCTGAGACCACTTACATCTCCCAGACCCTGACCCAACACCTCTTCTCTCCACATTGGACCCAACATCCCTAGCCCACTCCAGAACTGACAACCGCTTGCCCTGCTGCTAGATCTGCACCCTTCCTTTTCTGGACATGGTCCCACCTTACACTGCTCTGGACCTGAAACCCCTGGCTTTCCCTGCTGCTGGACCTGCACCCTTCCTTTTCTGGACACGCCCTCATCTTACTCTGCTCTGCACCTAAACATTCCCCCGCATCGCCTTCCCTTGCTCTGGACCCCGTGCCACCCTTCCTCCACTCCAGACCAGACTTTCCTTTTGCTGCTCTAGTCCTGCTCCTCCTTCACTATCCCTGATCTCGGACTTTTAATTTTCAAAATATGGCAGTTGACTGCTGTGCAAAGCGGGTATGAATGTCTTCCTCTGAAAGTTCTGCGCTGCAATGAAGCTGTCAAATTACAAGTATAGCTCTGCATTTCTGAGGAGCCATGACTGGAATTTCCTGTCAGAAATGTGGACCTCCCTCCTTTTATAAAGAACAAGGAGCAGATAGGCAATCTGCATGAGATTGCTATTCCACAGAAAATCTGGCCTATTAACTTCGCTTCTCTCCCCAAAAGCTGTCTGACCTGCTGAGTCCACTTCTTGTTTTTATAATGGACACCGTCCGTGGTCATTATATCCTTCAAATCCTTAAAGTTCCACCCTCAGATAAATTGATTAATCCAAAAGCAAAGTGGTGATTGCTCCAAATTAATGAAATTTTTGAATAAAGTGAACAGGCTGACTCTTTTAAACAATAGTTTTGCTTTCTGCTAAAACAAAACACCTTTACTGTTGCAGAACAACATTTAATTGGCAACATTTTTGAAGAGAAAATTCAAATTTTCTTTTTTTTTATTCTAGCAATGGCTGACTGTCCAGGAAACCAAATATACCAGGAATGTGGATCTCCCTGCAAATCTACTTGTTTAAATCCGCAGTTTACCTGTGACAGTTACTGCAAACCTGGTTGCTTCTGCCCTCCTGGTAAGAGTACTTCTTGAAAATAACAAATATACAGGAAATAATTTGGTACAGCTTCTGGTTCACTTAGTTTTAACATTTTTTTTACTTCAGTGCCTATAATGAAATTTCTAAAAGCTATTGCAATAATCTTTGAATGTTTTCATATTTTGTGCTGACTGATTTTCCTGTTGAAGTATAATTGCTCAGTGGTTCAAGTCACACTTGATCCAAAGGATAGTAAAGGTTTCTAGTTGTTGAAAGCTTAATATTACAATCTTAGAAAGTTGTTGCAGAAGTTCCTCAGAGCAGTCTCCTTAGATCAGCCATCTTCAGTTGCTTCTCCAAACTTTACATATCAAGATAGGAATAGAGTTGTTTGCTGACAGTGCTACATGGTTCATATTAATTTCTTTTTGATGATTTGTCCCAGTTAACCAACTTTCCTTGGTTTGCTTGGGCTTCCCTGTCTGGCACTGGTGAGTCCAAACCACACTCACCTCTTTCCTTTGGATCCATTGTTGATCCCTCATGAAATCACTCAAGTACTACCAATGGCCATCACTCCAGGTTGCTATGCCAATGCTGAGAGTTGACAGCTCTTCTTGGCTGGCACTCAGAGGCAGGACATCTACCCTACATCAGCATTTCTTGGGACATACCCCTCGCGGAATCCTAGAAATCTGACAGTGAGAAGGTGAGTGCATAATTAAGAAAATTCCATCGGGCCCCTTGAAAATTGACTTAGTGAGATTGCCAAGAGCTTTTGGTGAATAGTTTGCTGCTGTCATAAGCAAATTCAGCTCTTGGATTACAAAATCAAAGAAATTTATTATTCATGTTTATAAAACTATAATACGGCCTCAGCATGGAGTAAAGTGTTCTATTCTGGCAATGCTTTATGAAGAATTTGCAGGTTTTAGAAAGGGTGCAGAACAGTTTTACAAGAAAGGTTCCAGGGATGAGGAACTTCAGCCATTGGCACAGAATGGTGTTTTCCTTAGAGAAAAGATGGTTGGGACGGGATTTGAGATGTCGGTCAAAATCAGGAATGATTTAATCAAAGTGGTTCTCACTGGCAGAATAATTGAGAACTCAAATGCATTTATGGTGATTCAACAAAAAACGTAATGACAATGAAAAAAAAGACTATTTCATCCAGCAAATGATTAGAATTCTGAAATGCATTGACTTACAGTGTGTGGAGTCATAATGGGCTGTGGCTTTCAAGAGGGAATTGAATAACAACCTGAAGAAGTAAAAGTGCAGAGCTCTAGGGAAGGGGGCAAGCTCTTTTGTATAGTGTTGGCATGGCCACAACAGGCTAGATGGCCTTCTGTGCTGTAACCTTCCTGTGATTCTGTGTGCATGTCTACTGAAAATATCATTGGGCATAAACAGATCCCATGGTCAAAATCGTGCCAGAATATTTTTCGTCTGTACTAAAGGTCAAACCAAATTGGGTGAATTATTGTTCACATCCACATTTTTTATTCATTCATGAGGTGTGGGCAGTGCTAGCTGGGACAGCATTTATTGCCCATCCTTAATCACCCTTAAGGAGGTGGTGGTGAACTGTCTTCTTGAATCACTGCAGTTCGTTTGGGGTAGGTACACCTAAATGCTGTTAAGAAGGGACTTCCAGGATTTTGAACCAAAACTACTGAAGGAACAGCAATATATTTCTAAGTCAGGAAGGTGAGTGGCTTGGAGGGGAATTTGCAGGTGGTGGTGTATCTGCTCCTCTTGTCTTTCTAGATGTTATTGATCATGGTTTTGGAAGGTGCCGTCTGAGGTGCCTTGATGAATTTCTGCAATTCATCCTACAGATGGTGCACACTGATGCTACTAAGTATTAGTAGTGAAGGGATCAAATGTGGATATGATGCCAGTCAAGCAGGTTGTTTTGTTATTGATGGTGTCAAACTTCTGTATTGTTAGAACTACACTCATCCAGGCAAGAGGGGAGTATTCATTGCACTTGTACCTTAGTGATGGTGGACGGGTTTTGGGAAGACAGGAGGTACAAGCTTCTGCAGGATTCCTCCCATTTAACCCGCTCTTGTAGCCACAGTTTTAATATGACTAGCCCAGTTCAGTTTCTGGTCAATTGTAACCCCCAAGATGTTAATTGATAATAGGGGTTAGGTGATGGTAATGCTATGAATGTCAAGGGATGATGGTTAGAATCTTTCTTGCTGGAGACAGTCATTGCCTGGTACTTGTGTGGTGTAAATGATACTTGCCACTTTTCACTCAGTAGTCTGGTCATGCTGTGTTTGGTCATCAACTGCTTCAGTAACTGGGGAGTGACAAATGGTACTGAACATTGTGCAGTTGTCAGCGAGCATTCTATTCTGTTGTTACAATGGAGGAAAGGTAAATGATGGACTGGCTGAAAATGATTAGGCTAAAGTCACTAATCGGAGGTACACGTGGAGTGATGTCCTGCAGATGACATAACTAACAGTCATAAACCACAACTATCTTTGTTTGTGCCAGGTACGTCTCCAGTGTAGTTTCCCTCTCATTGAAAGCCATTTCACTAGGGCTTCTTAATACCGTAATCAGTCACATGTGGCCTTGATGTCAAGGGCAGTCACTTTCAACTCACCTTTGGAATTCAGCACTTCTGCCTATGCTGGACCCTTTATTGTCATGAGGTCAGGAACTGATTGACAATGGTGGAACCAAAACTGAGCATCAGGAAACAAGTTTTTGCTTAGTAAGTACTGCCTGATAGTACTGCCAATAGCCCATTCACTCACTTTATTGATGATAGAGAGCAGATTGATGGTGTGGTAATTGGCTGGATTAGATTGATCCTAATTTTTAGGAACAGAACATGCCTGTTTTCCACATTGTTGGGTCGATGCCAGTGTTAGAACTGCACTTGAATAGCTTGGCTAGCAAAATGGCAAGTTCAGGAGCACATGTCTATAGTACTATGACCGCAATATTGTGAAGGCCCATAGCCTTTGCAGTGTCTAGTATCTTCAGCTGTTTCTTCATATTGTGTGGAGTGAATTGAATTAGATGAAGACTGGTCCCTGTGATGCCGCTGGAGGTGGCCAAGATGAATCGTTCCACTTGATATTTCTGGTTTAAGATTGTTGCAAAATGTTCAGCAATTATATTGTGCACTGATATGCTGGGCAGCCCAGGAGGTGGATACTGTTGCAACATTTAAAAGGTATCTGGATATGTATATGAATGTGTTTGGTTTAGAAGGATATGGGCCAAATGCTGGCAAATGGCACTAGGTCAGATTGGAATGTCTGGTCAACATGGATGAGTTGGACAGAAGGGTCTGTTTGCATGCTATATGACTCTGTTAAGGAGACTCCATGACTCTTATTAAGGGTCTGCCTGGGGACCCTGCAGCCTTGTGGACTCAATATTGAGTTCAATAACTTGAAGGCTTGAGATCTGCCATGTCCTTACCCCAACACCAACGCACCAAGCTTTGTTATCACACAGTCTACTATTGCACACTACTCATTGTTAGCCACTGACAGTCCCTATTAATAGCTATTCGCCCTCCTAGCCAGATCGTTATCCACTCCTTTGTCTTTCCAACTGTTCTTGTCTCTGCTTGGGCTCTATCCCCACGTAATGTGTACTCCTTAACCCCTCTCTCACCCTATCATCTGCATATAATCCTACAAAATTTCCTAGCTACCATCAGTTCTGAGGAAGGGTTACTTGACCTGAAAGTATCAACTCTGCTTTCTCTCCACAGATGCTGCCAGACCTACTGAGCTTTTCCAGCAATTTCTGTTTTTGTTTCTGATTTACAGTATCCATATTTCTTCCAGTTTTTAATACTGTGGAGACACTGGTTCACATCCCACTATGGTAACTGGTGAAATTTTAACATGTAATTAATAAATTTGGAATGTAAAACTGCTCTCAATAATTGTTATGAAAACTTATCTGCTTCCTTAAGGCCCTTTAGAGAAGGAAATATGCTTTCCATACTTAATTTTGCCCACATCTGACTCCTCGCAGTCATGGGAGTGATTCTTAAATGATCTCTAAAATGGCCTAGCAAGCCACTCAGTGCAACTAAACTGCTATGAAGTTTAAAGAAATGAAACCGGACAGATCACCTGCATTGGTATTGGCAAGTAAGATAGTTGAGTCTAATTATTGCTCTCAAACTATATCTTGCATTTTTACTTTTAATTTCTTGGTTCTTTATTGTTTAATACCATTGCTTTTTTAATAGCCCACTTCCTTCTTTTAACTCTATACCCCTAGATCTCTTTAGTTGCAAGGGCTGGGTCCAGCTCCCTCTTGAATATATCTAACAAACTGGCCTCAACAGCTTTCTGTGGTAGAGAATTCCACAGTTTCACAAATCTGAGTGAAGAAATTCTTCTTCATCTCAGTCCTGATTGGCCTACCCCTTATTCTTAGACTGTGACCCCTGGTTCTGGATTTCCCAACATTGGGAACATTCTTCCTGCATCTAGCCTGCCCAGTCCCAACAGGATTTTATATGTTTCTATGAGATCGCCCCCCCCACCCCATTCTAAATTCCAGTGTGTATAAGCCCAGTCGATCCAGTCTGTCTTCATACGTCAGTCCTGCCATCTTGGAAATCAGTCTGGTGAACCTTCACTGGATTCCCTCAATGGCAAGAACGTCCTTCCTCAGACTAGGAGACCAAAACTACAGACAATTCTCAAGATATGCCTTCAAGGCCCTGTATAACTGCAGGAGGACATCCTTACTCTGATACTCAAATCCTTTCGCTTATGAAGGCCAGCATGCCATTAGCTTTCCTCAACACCTGCTGCACCTACACGCCAAACTTCAGCGATTGTTCCACCATGACACGCAGGTCTCATTAGTCCTCACCTTTTCCTAAACTACCAACAATAATAATCTGCTTTTCTGCATTTGTTACCAAAGTGGATAACCTCACATTTATCTACATTATATTACATTTTCCCACTCTGCCAGCCTGTCCAAGACATTCTGCAGCCCCTTAACATCCTCCTCACTGCACACACTGCCACCCAGCTTAGTGTCGTCTACAAATTTGGAGATATTGCATTCAATTCTTTTGCCCAAATTGTTAATATAATTGGTCTGGCAAAGATGGTGGTGAGCTACCTTCTTGAATTGCTACTGTACTTGGAGTGCAGGGGCACCTACACCCTACAATTCTGAGCCAGTGTTAGTGGAAGAATGGCAGTATAGTCCTAAGGTAGGATGGTGTTTGGCTTAGCAGGAAAGTTTTGCAGTTGATGATGTTCCCATGCTTCTGATGCCATTGTTCTTCTGTGTGGTAGAGGTCACAGGTTTGGAAGGTACTGTCTTAAAATTCGTGAGTTATTGCAATACTTTTTGTTGATTGTATACACTCTTGCCACGGTGCAGTCAATGTTATGACTTTTCATTCATTTGTGGGACATGAGTATTGTTTTTATTACCCATATGTATTTGTCCTTGAGAAGGTGCCTTTTTGACCCACAGCAGTTCATGTGTTGTAGGTGGATCCACAATGTCTTTGGGGAGAATATTCTAGGATTTTGGCCCAATAGCACCAAGGGAATGGCAACATATTTGCAAGTTAGGATGGTGAATGGCTAGGAAGTAAACTTGCAGGTGATGGTGTTTCCATTTATCTGTTGCCCTTGTTCTTCTCAGAAGAAAGTGGTTGTGGGTTTGAAAGGTGCAGTTTATGGAGCCTTAGTGAAATTCTACAGTGCATCTTGTAGATAGTACACACTGCTGCTACTGAACGTTGGTGGTGGAGTGACCGAATATTTGTGGATGTGGTGCCAAACAAATGGGCTCTTTTGTCTTGGATGATGTCAAACTTCTAGTGTTGTTGGACTTGCATTCATCCAGGCAAGTAGGGAGTATTCCATCACATTCCTGACTTATGCCTTGTAGATAATGGACAGGCTTTATGGAGTCAGGAAATGAGTTACTTGGTGCAGGATTCCTATCCTCTGAACTGCTGTTGCATTTATATGGTGAGTTCAGTGAGTTTCCAGTAAATGGTCATTCTCAGGCTGTTGACAGTGGTGTATTTAGTGATGGTGATACCATTGAATGTCAGAGCGCAAAGGTTAGATTGTCTGTTATTGGAAATGGTCATTGCCTGGCATTTGCGTGGTGCGACTTGCCACTTTTCAGCACAAGACTGGATATTGTACATGAACTGCTTCAGTATCGGAGGGTCGTTAATGGTTTTAAACATTGTGAAATCACTGGCAAATATCCCCACTTCTGAGGTTATGCTGAAGGGAAAGTCATTGATGAAGCAGCTGAAGATGGTTGGGTCAGGATACTTGCTTGAGAAACTTCTGTAGAGGTTCCCTGGAGCTGAGTTGACTGACCTCCAACAGCCACAACCATCTTCCTACGTGGGTATGTCAGAGAGCTTTCCTCCGATTCTTATTGACTCCAGTTTTGGTAGGGCTCCATGATGCCACACTTGGTCAAATGTGACCTCGATGTCAAGGGCTATCATTCTAACCTCAGCTCTGGAACTCAGCTCTTTTGTCCGCGTTTGAACCAAAGCTGTATTGAGATAAGGAACTGAGTGGCCATGGCAGAACCCAAACTAGGTGTCAGTGAGCAGGTTATTGCTAAGCAGATACTGCTCAATAGCGCTGTCAATGACATCATCTCTTTACTGATGATCAAGAGTAGACTAATCGGGCGATAATTGACTGGATTAGATTTGTCCTGCTTTTTTTGTACAGGATATACCTGGGCAGCTTTCCACACTATCAGGTAGATGCCAATGTTGTAACTGAACTGAAAGGGCTTGGCTAGGGGAACAATGACTTCTGGAGCAGAAATCTTTAGACTACTGCTGGAATATTGTCAAGTCCCATGGCCTTTGTCACCTCAGTGTTTCTCCGAGTGTTGCCAATCATGGAAGAGCACTGAATCAGCTGAGGGAGAATGGGATGTAGTAATCAGCAGGAGGTTTCCTTGCCCATGTTTGATCTGATGCCATGGGACTTCATAATGTTGAGGGTCAGTGTTGAGGACTCCCAGGGCATCACCCTCTCCACTCTATACCACTCTGCCTCCATCTCTTCTGCTGGTGAGTCCGGACATATCCAGAAATGGTGATGGTGTTGTCTGGGACATTGTCTGTAAAGTATGACACTGTGAATATGACTGTCAGGCTGTTGCTTGATTAATCTGTGAGATAATTCTCCCAATTTTGGATCTGGCCCCCACTTGACAGGACTGATTTTGCTGTTGTTTCCAGTGCCCTATGTCAATGCCAGGTGGTCTGTCCGAGTTCATTTCTTTGTTGAGACTTTGTGGTGATTGTTACAACTGAGTGGCTTGCTCGGTCATTTCAGAGGGCATTTGAAAGTCAACCATATTGCTGTAGGTCTGGAGTCATGTAGGCCAGTGCAGGTAAGGATGGCAGATTTCCTTTTGTGAAGAAAGACTTTGAACATCTATTAATGTATTTGAATATATTAATAGAAGTAGATAAGCATAATGGAAAAAATGTTGAGAGGCTTGTATAGATGTAAGATATATTACCCTTTAAGTATTATAGGAGTCTATTATATAAAACTGATGTTGTCAAAAAAAATCTTATAAGTATTGAAAAACTTAAGAAGATCTGGAAGAGCTTAGCTAGGGGAACGGCGACTTCTGGAGCACAAGTCTTTAGTACTATTGCCGGAATGTTGTCAGGTTCCATCACTTTTGTCACCCTCCCTTTGAGTGGGTGGCTTGGCAGCTTAATGATTAGCATTGCTATCTCACAGCACCAGGGACCTGGGTTCAATTCCAGCTTGAGGTGACTGTCTGTGTGGAGTTTGCACGTTCTTCCCTGTGTCTGTGTAGGTTTCCACCCACAGTCCAAAGATGTGCACATCAGGTGGATTGGCCATGCTAAAATGCCAGTAGTGTCAAGGGATGTGTAAGTTATGTGAACCAGTCATGGGGAAATGCAGGGATGGGTTTGGGGTGTGGATCTGGGTGGGATGCTCTTTGGAGAGACGGCATGGACCTGATGGTCCGAATTGCTTGCTTCCACACTGAAGGGATTCTGTGATTCTAATCTATGGTAAGTTCATTTCAGTATAAAAGGAAGACAACTATCACTCCCGTCACCACAGTGAGGGTAGTGGATAAGGTACCAGTCATGTAGGCTGCTTTTGTTGAATATTTTCAAGCTGCTTGACTGTTGTTGGAATTCTCCTCATTCAGGTAAGTGGAGAGTATTCCACCACACCCCTGACTTGCACCTTGTAGGTGGTGAACAAACTTTAGGCTATATCCTGTCAGGAGATGAGCTACTTGATGCAAGATTCCTAGCTTCTGACCTGCTCTTACAGCCACTGTATTTGTATAGCTAGTCCAGTTCAGTTTCTGGCCAGTGGTAACTCTCAGGATGTTAATCTTGGTTTCAGTGACAGTGATGCAATTGAATATTTAAGGGGCAATGATTAAGTGGTTTGGCTGTCAAGACCAAGTCAAATTCTAATATTATTTGTTCCCCATCAAAAAACAAACCACATCACATGAGGGTATGACATGAAATCAGAGACAGATATAAAAAGCATGTTGTTCCCTGTGTGCACTGCAATTGCACCTTAATAGGCTAGTGAAAATGTTACCTGAGACATTAGGAGCTATAGTTCACTGTGAGTGTGACGAATGAGAGTAATTTTAATTTAATCCTCCTGGCCTTTCCTGTTGGCTCAACAGAAAATATAAATAGACAGAATGCAAACTGTGTGGCTGATTGCTCCTGATCTATCACTTTCTTTTGCTGGTTGCCTTGTTTAAAAATGACTGATATATAAGTTAAAATAGCTAGGTAATGTAACAAAGGGTAGCAAAATTCAACAATGTGATAGAAAGTAAGATGCTATTAATGTGTGCTTAATTTGCTGCAGGAACTGTTCTTGACTATATTACCTCAAAAGATAAATGCATACCACGACACGAATGCCCTTGCGTTCTAAATGGGAATACTTATGCTCCAGGAGAAAAAATGGATTCATCATGTACTTCCTGGTAAATAAGAATTTAGTTGCAAATATTTTGTAAATTTATTGCATTTGAATTTATAATCATCTCTGTTATAATGTAGAGTCATAGAGCCATCAAGCATGGAAACAGGCTCTTCAGCCTAACTTGGCCATGCTGACCAAATTTTCTAAACTGAAACAGTCCCATTTGCCTGTGTTTGGTCCATATTCTTCAAAACTTGTCCCAACTGTGTATCTGTCCAAATGTCTTTTAAATGTTGTAATTGTAACTGCCTCGACAACTTCCTCTGGCAGTTTGTTCCATATACGCACCACCCTCTGTGTGAAAAAGGTGCCCCTCAGGTCCCTTTTTACATTTTTCCCCTCTCACCTTAAATGTATATCCTCTAGTTTTGGATTCCCCTATCCTAGGAAAAAGACTTTGGCTACTCGTCTTATCAATGCCCCTCATAATTTTATAAGGTCACCTGTCAGTCTCCTATGCTTCAGGGAAAAAAGAAGTCCCACCCCATCTAGCCTTTCCTTATAACTCAAACCTTCCAGTTTGGATAACATCCTTCCTATAGCAGGACAATTATACTCAGTACTCCAAATATGGCCCTACCAATGTCTTGTACAGTTGTAACATGATGACCCAACTCCTGAGCTCAATGCTCTGTCCATTGAAAGCAACCATCTTTTTCACTGCCCTGTCTATCTCTGATACCATTTATAAGGAACAATGTACATGCACCCCCAGGTCTGTCTGTTTGAAAACGCTCCCCAGGGCCCTACTATTAACTGTGTAAGTCCTGCCCTGGTTTGTCTTACCAAAATGCAACACTTGCAGTTATCTAAATTAAACTTCATCTGCCATTCTTCGGCCCACTGGTCCAGTTGATCAAGATCCTGCTGTACTCTTAGATGACCTTCTTCACTGGCTACTATACTACCAATTTTGGTGTCATTCCCAAACTTACTAACTATGCCTTCTATATTCTGATTCAAGTTGTTTATAAAAGTGACAAACAACAGTGGACCCAGCACTGATTCTTGCAGCAGATCTCCGCTCTGAACAACAACCCTCTACAACCATCCTCTGTCTCCTACCGTCAAGCCAGTTTTATATCCAGTTGGCTAGCTTTCCCTGGATTCATTGTGATCTAACCTTACCAACGAGACTACCAAGCGGAATCTTGTCGAAGGCTGTGCGAAAGTGTGTGTAGACAATGTCTACCGCTCTGCTTTCATCTATCTTCTTGGCCACCTCTGCAAAAAACTCAATCAAATTTGTGAGTCAAGATTTTTCACGCACAAAGCCATGCTGACTATCCCTAATCAATCCTTGCCTTTCCAAATGCATGCAGATCCTGTCTCTCAGAATCCCCTCCAATAACTTACCAACCACTGACATCAGGTGCATCAGTCTGTAGTTCCCTGGCTTTTCCTTTACACATTTTTTAAAATAATGGCACAACATCAGCCACCTTCCAGTCATTCAGCACCTCACCCCTGCCTATTAATGATACAAATACCTGAGCTAGGGATCTCATAGTTTTTTTCCCTGGCTTCCCACAATGTCCTGGGATCACAGCAGGCCAAGCAGCATCAGAGGAGCAGGAAGGCTG